TTCGATAGGATTGCCTTCAATCTGGAATAAATTAGGCTGAGTAGTCCAGGATTGGAAAAACATCTTGTACCGAACACTATCAGGGAGGATTCTAAGTTTATTGAGTTTAGAATAAACATCAAAACCTAGAACCATATCTTTGCCAGGTAAATCGGAGCCAAGGACTTTATGAAAACTAAAACATCTTGAAAAAATTTGGATTTTAATGGGTTTGCTAATCAAATGAGTAGTGAAAGTCTCACTATTAGCAGTGTAGAAAATTTCCTGGTAGGTTTCCACTGAGAGGCTAAGAGGATCTTGGGGTTGATAATAGTACGAGTAGCACTAGTATCCAAAAATGTTATGACTGAAACGGGATTGGAGTATTTAGTGGGGAAGATCTGAACTTTTGCTGTAGGTATGTGACATGAGAAGGCTGATGATGGAAAGGAGTGTGGTGCTTATTGGACATGGTAGAAATAGTAACAATCATCTGAATCAGAGAACTCAGTATCAGTGGCTACAAACTGGAAAATAGTGTCTGAAGTGGGTTCTTCATCCATGGAAAACCAACTTTCAACATCATCATCAGAAAAATCTATATCTGTGAGCTCAGAAAGTTGTTGCATCATTTTGGCTGACTGCTTAGGCTTGGTTGGACAATTTCTGGCAAAATGACCCGACCGGTTGCACAAATAACACCGATTAGACCGTTTGCCTTTGCGTTTCCTTTTCCAAAGAAACTTGCAGTGCTTGAAACGTCAAAATTTGCGTCTGGCCGGAGCATTAGAGGGAGAAAACTTTATGCGTCTAGAATGAAACTTCTTCTTGGTAGGACAAGAACATGAGCGATCTTATTTGCATTTGATCTGCAAGTCTGGTCGTTGAGAAACCTTTGTCAGCTGTTTAGAATGCTTTAGATAATCGTCAAAAATTGTTTTTGAGAACAAAGCTTTTCCAGAGCAAGAATAACAAACTGATAAATTTCACCAAGAGAAGTGGATCCAAGTTGTTTGTTCTGGGACTGCATAAGCTTGGTTGCTTCATGACTTAGGGATTCAGGAATAAATTCCAAAAAGGCTTGCTTCATGTTAGGATCATCCATACCCCTAAGCATATGATATCTTTTTATCATCTCTTTGTAATGTCTGTCAAGATCTTTCTTTTTTAGAGAATAGCATCGCATTTTAAAATATTCTTCTCTGACCTGGTTCTCATAAAGGTGAGGTAATCCACAGAATTCATCATACAAGAGATATAAAGCTTGGTTAATATCTAGCATTTGGATGAACAAATTTTGTCTATACTCCTGAAGACTTATCCACCAATCACGAAGAATGCCACCAAATCTAGCTGTAAACTGCGTAAGCACAGTAGAGACTTGGGCATTAAGTTTCAACATCTCAGCTTGTAACTAGGCCTGAAATTCATACATCCGAGTTCTCCATTTGTGTGGAGGAAGATCATTGACGGTAAAAGTGTGGAGCTTTGCTAAAGTTGTATAAGAGTCACGTTCAACCGTAGTATGATGAGATTGTCGATACATAGGCGGAGAGTCAGGATTGGAATCATCACCTTCAGGCATCTCATCATTAACCTCAGAAACAACAGGTGGTCTTGACGATTCGGGTTGATGGGTCATCAGTTATGGATAAACATTAGGGTGTTGATCAGAAGTATTACTGTCAGAGTCAAAGCCACTTTCAAATGATTCATCAGTAGAAGGTATATCGGCTTCTAATTCTGTTTGGAAGGTAGATAGAGAATCCAAAGAAATACCCGAAGTGGCAAGATGTTACCTTTCTGCCATATCTCTCAAAAAAGAGCTCATAAAATTTGAAGAGACGGGATTTTCTGAAGAGTCAGGATTAGCAGAAGGTTGGCGCTCTTCCATCATCATTATTTGCATTGGAGCCTTATCCTTAGATAAAGGACAATGAGGCTTAGGAGATGGAGTATCTGAGTGACTAGAAGAGAAAGAGTCAGGAATATCAGCGGATGGGGTCTGTGGTCTAGCAGAATACTTTTCTCGCTTCTTTTGTTCTCGTTCTAGCTTGATCTTTTCATCACGTTCTTTGCGGAGCTTGGCATATAATTGTTCAGTGTTGCCAAAACCTTGAATAGCACCAGAAGGTATATAAGGTGAGACCAAAGGTTGGCTAATTTTTGGGAAAGGTGAAAAAGAGGGTTGTGGCCATGCTGTTGTGGAGTTAAAAGGATTTGATACCAATGATATTTCAGGGAAAGTCTATGGTTGTTTGAGTTTTTTCTTCAGATATTCCTGCTGAAGTGATGCCATTTGAGTTTTTAATGACTTCATTTCTGCTTCCTTCTGGAGAAACTAAGATGAATAACCATGAGAGGTGCAGACAATGTGCATTAATTCCTGATGGAGCTGATCAATCCAGCTTTGGAGATGATCAAATTATTTTTGTAGTAGTGAAATCAGCATAGTTTGGTTTTGAGACTGGGAGTCTACCTGATGAGCTACCAAATCCAGTTTTTGTTCAATTTTGGTAATGGTTTTGTTTTGGGCTAAAGCATTTTCAGTCTGCCAATTGAGAATTGCTTCAGCTTGGGAGAGTTTTGGCATGGATCCATCAGGCTGTATAACTTGGATTTTTTGATTTTTTGGGATATAAGATATTTCATACAAACTATCCACTTTAGAAGAAGATCTAGATAAGCTAGTATTTATGGGAGCAGTAAATGTAGATAAAGTTGAAGAGGATTCTATGTACGTAAGTTCAACCTCTTGGATGTGTAATATCACCTCAAATAGTAAGGATAGTGCAAGACCCACACATTGAACATAAAATAAAACATAACACATTAAACAGAGAAATAAAACATAACCAAAGCTTAAAGAAGCCAATATCCAAGGGGAGGTAATCCTCCGCACACACAGAAATTGGAACCAATAAGTAACTTAAAGAATCCAATATCCGAGGGGAGGTAATCCTCCGGACACACAGAAATTGGCATGTTAAAAATAATAATTAGATTTTATATAAAAGATCAATAACATATCAATAATGCTACGGAAACCAGATTCTACACAGAAATCTTACACCGACTTACGTGGCCCGTGACTCACAACAGACACGTTTCACGTTCAAATTTTTTTTCTAGTGAATGGTCATTCATTAACTATGGACGACCGTTGATAAGCATTCATAATATCTATATATTTGTTATATTTCCTCATGTTTTAATGGGTATAAATGCTTAAATCTTGGGTTTTGATTATGTTTCGTATTTTGTGGAGTAGATTGAGGAGTTAAATCAAATTGAATTCAAAATCAAGAGTTTTGGAGAGAAAAAATCGGAGCTCAAAAAGAGATACATTCCAGAAGTGGATTTTGCTTAAAGCGTGGGCACGTCCTGTTTTCCCAGAATGTTCATAAAAGCAGTCAGCAGATAAAGCGTGGGCGCACCTTACTGGATCCGAGGTTTTTGACCTAGGGTTACGAATTTGTTGGAGAAAAAGATATGCATGACAGCTGGAAAGATTTATTTACCCTTTCTTAATCTCTAGGATTTGCCAAGACTCCTTATTTTGGTGGGATTTGCTTTTAATTAGTTTCCTGATCTAGATAGGGTAAATATTATTAGATGGAGTTATAAATAGGGAGATTATTCACAAGAAAATGGGACATCTATTTCTATCTCTCTTTCTTTTTTTTTTTTAGGCTTCCTTTTAATTATGTGTAGCTAAATTCTTTTCTTCCAGCTGAAGGATAATTGAAGTTTTGGTTCTTCAAGAATTGTGAGATCTAAATAATTTTCAATGTTATTTTATTTCTTCATTATTTATATATCTTCTATGTTTATTAACAATTATTGTTTTGATTGATTGATGCAAAGGGCCCGTTGTTCAATTATCAGGTTGATAAATTGCCATTTAGAACTTTAAATCCGTAATTGTTTAAGTGTTCTAATATTAGTGGTAAAATAACATAATTGATTATAAAAAGATTTTCAAATTATATTATGAAGATATATAATCTAGTCTAAATGAATCGAGCTTGTGTATTTGTTGGCTAGAATTGGTAGTCTCTCTAATTATTAATGCTGTCTATAGATTAAATCCTAAGAGCTTGTTTAGGGTTGTTTATTAACAAGGGAAGTAATCAAAGAGCTTGTTTTGGTTATCGAGAAAGTAAGGAGAGATAGGTTGTTAGAACTTGTTAATAACCATAACTAATTTGGTGAAGAATAGAAGATTTTATCCTTGTATCTATGATCAATTCTCTGAACCACTTCTGACATTATACCTTTGGTTGGATATTTGCCTGATATTGATTTTTTCTTAATTTTTAGTTGATTATAATTGCTTTCTTTTTATTTTACTTTGAAATTTCAAAACCCCCATTTTTCTTTGCTTTAATTTTCATTAAAATAAATCTACCCAATCTCTGTGGATACGACCTTGCTCATCACTGTTACAATTTTTATTTTTTTGAGAGTGAGAATTTTATTATTTGTTAGATTCGACACCCACCAACCGTTCACTTACATGGACTCCCATTCATATTATATGGATGAGAGTTCATGTACTATGGACGAGCGTCCTCATTTAAAGAATATCCGTTCATCAGTAAATAGAATAAAAAATATAAACAAAAGTAAGGGATGGTCGTCCCAAAAAAAGGACGGGCGTCCACATATAATGGACATCCGTCCATGAACAATGGTTTTAAAAACTTAAAAAAAATTAAGGGACGCCCATTCATCAATTATGGACAACCATCCCTTAATTTTGGACGGGCACCCACAAATAAGGGACATCCGTCCATAATATAAACATAAAAAATTAAAAAAAACTTTGGACGCCCGCAAATAGGTATAGCTTTCTTGGTTTACTATAGAGCTTCTTTTAACTTTGCATAAAGCATTGAAAGCCCGAGTACAGACCTAGGTTTTTAATTTTAACATTCAACGAGAACTTGTAATAAATATGATACTACAATTGGATACAATTCATTATTATGCAAAAGCCTGTTTCATTTAAAGCTTTCAACATGCCTAAAAATGAATCAATCTCTTCTCAGTTACAAACATTTCAAAGATGTTCCTCAAAAGAACCCCAAAAAAAGAAAAAAAAAAAGGGAAAAATCAAAAATACAAATCAGAACTCTGTTTTAGTATTCTGGAACAGAAGGATAATTCCTTCAGCAACTTAAAATACTCAAAAACTTGAAAGTATATTGAACAAAAAGTTGTGGGCAAGTTAGCTGAATTCTCTTTAGAGTGTTGAATGATTCAAAGTTGTAGCTTCTTTCTATATTATTTTCTACATTTTGTTTAACAAGCACAACCCCCTCGTTTCTGATCTATCTGAGATGAACTCACAGTCGGCTTTAGGTTGACATCCACCATGTCTTCTTGTTTTGTGGAAGAAAGGGTCTCCATTCCTGGCAATGCAGCCGCTATCTTGCGAAATAGAGGCTGTAATATTACATTAAACCATCAAGATTAAAGTGATAAACGGACCCAAATGACAGCAGTTCTGGAATGAAAAAGAAATGCAATTTGTCCATTATTATTTACCTTGATATTGAATCCTGCTTTTGCACTTGTTTCTATAAACACGACTCCGGAGTCCGGACTCGCGAGCCTTGCCATCTCCTTGTGCTATGGACACTTGCCTGTTTTGATTCATCACCAAACCCACATTATCAAAACAACCTATCCATACATCCAAAACCAAAATAATTTATACTAAAATGCTCTGTTCATTCATGAAAGAATCCACATTGAGCTGCAATAACATTTAGCTTGTAATATGCTAGGCATGAATGTTGATAAGCTTATTCATTATATCTCAAATCTTAAAACAATAGGATAGGGTTACTCTATTGAATTGAATGTCATATTTATATACATTTAATTGAAATAAAGCACATGAATGAGAAGATTATCAATGCAAAGTAGTAAAACTTTACAATATTAATTTCAAGATGTAATGTAGCTCTTTCATCATTAAATACATACCTGTTCATTGAAAAACTCTTGCACCGTGGCATTCAAGTTGTCATTCCAACGGTCATTCCATATTCCTAGAAGCACTTTGTTAAGCTTGGGTGTCACTTGGTCTCCATAACCAAAGGTCTTCATTTTTCCACATCCACGTATCAGTACGCTCTCCAATGCTGGGTATTCAATAGTATATGATCCAGAGCTAAAACAAGTAAGGTTGTTTAGATATCCAAGTTCCAATATGTACAAACTAGGAAACACTATCCTCTCTACTGATGCTTCTTTTTCTCTTTTCTCATTTGTGACTATTTCTTCTATTGTTGAGCAGCTTCATAGTTCAAGTCTTTTGAGCTTCCCCAGGCATTTGACAATGGAAGGGGTGAAGAGGTTTTTTAATTTATGACAATTCTCTATGTACATAGATGTCAGGTTTCCCAAACTTGGGGAAGTTATGATGTGGTCTAACTCCTCATCCAAAGCTTCTTTCTTCTCAAAGATCTCCTCTAAATTATTGCAATACGCTATATCTATTTCTTCCAAACAAATAAGGCTTTGGAGTAGAGTTGGTGAAAATAGTTTTATTAACTTACTGCATGACCAAATTTTTACCTCTTTCAAGTTATGAAGGCTTATGGATTGATGGTCACCCTTCCATATATGTGACAACTCAGGCAATTCTTTCAATTCTAGATGCTCTAATGATGATAGTAACTTGGTTTCTCCCTCTGCAATCTTAATATCTTTACAATCAAATATATACACCACTGATCTACAGCCATATGTTTTAAAAGTTTGAAAATTTTGTAAGCTCTGTAACAAATGACTTGGTACAACACTTAACATGTTGCTGCAACTTGTAACTTTTAAAACTTTTAATTTACTGAAAGAGAGGGCTGGAGGTTGTCCATGACATAGTTCAACCAAGTTGGGATTGCAATAGATATTCAATTCCTCTAAATTGTGGAAAGTTGAGTTTGGTGTCCCTTCCATTGCATTTAGGAGATACTTTATCTCATCACATAATGTGATATCAAGATACTTCAATTCATTGAACCCGTCTTCAACTAGGTTATGGCTAATGCTCTCTAAATTAGCAATTTTCTTTAAAATTAGGCACTCGGTTCTTTTGAGCAAACCTTTAACCCAACAACAGTCATGTATTTTTGAAATGTTGGTTTGTGAGGCACACATATATCTTGAGTACCTACTCCCATCCAAATATTCATCAAAATGGTTACTATATTCAATATAACCTATTCTTAATTTAAATTTGGACAGGTTATTTGGGAATACTAACAATTTTGGTGAGAGGTCAAGGTTTGAAATAGAAATCTCTAAATGAGTCAATCGAGACAAGGCTTGTAACTCAACAAGATTGGCATTGCTTTTCAAAATTTCACTTTCAGATTCCCATTCCCAAAATCTATTAATGTACAACTCCTCTAACTTTTTAAGAGAGAATATAACACCACGAGATTTTAGTGTTAACTCCCAACAATCGTTCAAATCTAGTAGTCTGAGATTACTTAATTGGCTAAAGGATATGGGGATCTCCTTAATATTAGATTCGGAGAGACAAAGAATCTCTAGTTTACTTAGCTTTCCAATTACTCCTATGTCACCCAACTCTCCATCACTAATATATAATGTTCTAAGATTTGAAAGAAATGAAACTGAATCAAGCAGTGAAAAGAGCCTGAATCCACTCAAGTTTAAAACATTGAGATTTTTCATTCCTTGAAAGAAATTCCCAGGAAAACAAATCTTAGCACTGCCTTGCACCATCAAAACCTGTAACTTTGGGCATTCTAACTCATTAGGTAGCTCTATAGTATTATTTGACATTAGTGAGATACATGTGAAATCTTCAAATGTATCTATGTTTGTCCACTCTCGTAGACCAATGCCAGCTTTTACCATGAATTGGTGGTTGTATTTAGGAGCTATGTTTAATGCAAAATCCCGCACTACATCATGCATTTTAACATACTCTTCACCATCATCATCATCAATTAAGAGAAAGGAAGAAGTGATGGTACTTACAATAGCATGAACTCTATCTCTGACATCTTCTATTGTTTCATCGTCTTTAAACCACCTCTGACCAATCGCGTATCTCACTAAAACTTCAATTGGAATTTTGTAATCCTCTGGAAATAAGCTACAAAATAAGAAAAGTGATTTTGACTCCACTTTTCCTAGATAATTCAAGCTCAGTTCCAAAGATGAAAATAAGATCTCCTCCACTCCTTCGATGTTGGATGGGTTGGACTTTTGAAGTTGTCTTGCCGCGTTGCTCCACACATGCTTGTTCTTGCCCTTTAAAGCTCCTGCTATTATCACTATTGCAAGTGGCAAGCCACCACATTTAGCAGCTATCTCTCTTGCAAAAGAGCTTATGTCAGAAGTTTCGACATCTGAGCCGATAATCTTGCTGAAAAGTGTCCAAGATTCTTGTTCTAATAAAGTTTCAACTGTATGTATCTCCTGACACTCCATTTGATTACATATAGTTTTGCTTCGAGAGGTGGTTAAAATTTTACAACCTCTATGGTCACTCCCAAAAGGAATACCAATCTCATCCAATTTGATTCTTTCCCAAACGTCATCTAAGATAATGAGGATCCGCTCCTTCTCCTTGATTCTCTCCCATAGGAAACTTGCTCTTGCTATTTCAGAACTAGGTGGCAAGGAGTTTGTTACACCTAACATGTTAGCAATATCGCTTTGAATCTTCATAATACTAGGGGTTTGAGAGACAACCGCCATCACAACAACATCATACATCTTAGCTTCTTTTACATGTTGGCTGATTTCTTTAACTAGCCTGGTTTTACCCACACCACCCATTCCCCATATTCCAATTATGCTGACACTGTCACTATCAGTTAAGGCCTTCATAACTTGCTCTTAATTGAATTTCTAGATTCAAAAGTGCCTGAAGAAAATAACTTCGAGGATGATATAATTCCAGATGGAGGAGCAGGACAAGACACACTCTCATCAAGCTTTCCTACTTCCTGGAGCTGTTCAGATATCACCAGAGAATGCTTCTTTGCCTCCTTACTGAATCGATAACGTTGTTTGAGATTAATGCACCACCCTTTGAGGCACCTCTTGTTAGCTTTGTCTTCATCTTCCAAAAAGCTTTCAGCTTTTGTAGAAATATTATCAACTTCTGCTATCCAGCTTCGAACATTAGCGAAGATGATTTCTCCTTGTCTTTCAGCAACTTCGATTTTCAGTTGCATACTACGTCTTCTATTTGCCAGCTTCTCAGCTTGCTTTTTCAAATTTTCAATGTTGTCGTTGTAACAAAACAAGTAACCAAGTTGATCACCAGCGGCTGCAAAACAACACTTTCCGACCTCCACAGTAATTGCAGAAACAATTTCCATGGCTTTTTTTTCTCTTGGATATAAGGAGAGAATTCTATTGAGTAGTCTTTGAAGGTGAGAGAAGGATAAAATAAGGGATTTAAAGGAAAGGTTTAGGAGAAATTTAGTGGCTTAGTTTGCAACAAAGAGGAGGACACAAACAATCCGATGAAGAAATTAATTAAGTGATGAATGAGCGAGTGGTGTGAAATGATAAGAAGAAAGAAAAGCACAAAAGGACAAGAAGTAAATATCAACGTGTGTTGATTTTTCCACCTTTCTTTTCAGTTTTTGTTGGACTGAATGTGAATATGATGAACTTTCGAAGTCAGTTTTGACTATAATGAATAAAGCTAGAATTGGAATTTAATCAATGAAAATAACAACTTTGATGTTACCCTACCTACCAATGAAATTTCCCACAACTTGTGGTGAAACCAGCTGGAAACTTTAAAATAATTATCTGCAAGAAAATCAGATATTGAAAGCAAATATAATTCTATGTTGATCCTGGTGATTAATGCTTGAATAAAATACATGATTATGATTAATACTTGAAATTCTTCTTCTTGAGTGAAAGATTTAGAGTTTTGAAGGTTCCATGATATTTCAAGTTGAGAATTCCGGGAAGATTACTGCATAAAATTAAAAACTTTAAAAACTGTAAGCCTTCTTTCTGATTTGATCCTGGTAATTTTTAAGTTTGTATTGTCTTTTTTTTTTTTTTTTTTTTTTTTTTTTATTTTTTTTTTTTTTTTTTTTTTACATTCAATTCAACTATGGTTTCTAACATCACATAATAAACTATTTTATTGTTTATTCAAGAAGTTCAAATTGTTTCCATACCATACAACTAATTTTTTAAGCTTATTTAAAGCAGTAAAAATTTTAAATTATTTTTTACTTAATTTTTATATATTTGACTCAATTTATTGTTGTATATTAAAATCTTTTATGATAAATTAATAATATATATATTTTATAGTTTCTCAACCAAACAATTAGCTATCACATTTCGTCACTTCATTCAATCTTCTACAACTCAAGAAGCTTTTCTTTTTTGTGTTAAAATATTAGCAACAAGAGTTAATGAATTAATCTCTTTGAGATTTCATAAATAACATCAATCTCTTTGTCTTTAAGTTTTAGATGTTAAAAAAACAGAAAAATTTGGTAATACTTATTAACCCGTAATAGTATAAATTTTAACAATTTACTGATAATTTATGAAGGATTTCTATTATTTTAAAAATATAAGAGGATTTTTTATTATTATATCATATCATAATCGAATTAGCATCATTGAGTCTATCAACAATAAAATTACACAATTCTCAATTATATAATAAAAAATTGAATGGAAATAACCACCCTTAGATGGCCGAGGGGTCAATTAAGACTCTTGGGTGTATTACTCAAGAAGTCTTGAGTTCAATTATCCCAATTGCTAATAGGAATGACTATTGAAAGTTTACTTGATCCTTAACTTCAGGCCACGAGAGATTAGCAACTGAGAGTTTAGTCGAACTTGATCCTTAACTTCAAACCTGGGGGAATTAGTCGAGTTGCGCGTAAACTGTCTCAGACACTCCTGATCAATAAAAAAAAAAAAAAATTGAATGGAAAATCTGAGTTTTAAACCATCGCATCAAAATAAACCATTAACAACAAAATATTCATTCTCATTCAATCCTAATAGTTTTTTTTAATGGTTTTAAAGTAGGGATTTAAAGAAAAGATTAGCAACCCGAAGTTTAGTCGGTCCTTAACTTTAGGCCTCAGGAGATTAGCCGAGTTGTGCGCAAACTAACTCGAATACTCTCCGTCACAAAAAAAAAAAAAAAAATGGAAATGATGAGTTTTAAACCATCACATCAAAATAAAACCATTAACGAACAAAATATTCATTCTCATTTAGTCCTAATAGTTTTTTTAACGGTTTTAAAGTTGGGATTTAAAGACATTCTTGTGGGTATTGTGGTGAAAGGTTTTAGAGGAATTGCTATTGTTAAATAAGTTAGGTGGGTATTCTCATTGACACTGTTGCCATTTAGATTCCAATTTGAGGCCGGGGCAAGGACAAGACTAACTCTGTCCTTGGCTTCACCCGCCATTCGGGGATTGCTTTTGGGCCCGAGCCTGCCCTGTTTGAGGTGGGTTGGGTAAACTTTTATTGTGATTGGGGTATTTTAGTTAAATTCTCAAACATTGGGGGTTAAAAGAATTCTCTAAATCATAGTAGCAATAATAATAATAATAATAATACCCACCAATTTATTATTAAGAAAGAGGGACAATTCAGGAAAAGCTTCTTCCGATAATCTATTATTCCTCCCAACCAAACACATTAATTATTTATACCCACCAATTTATTCCAATCTAACCAAACATATTAATATAACATTTTTCAGTAATCTTCAAAATAATACGCACACTAAGGGGTATATAACACCCACCCTAAACATAAAAACCCTCCATAATTAATTATGTTTCACTTAATATGTTTGATATTTTTAGTCAAAATTGAGTTTTAATAGGTTTTCATTTGCATTGGTAATCCTTGCCTTCTGTTCTAGGAGGTACATCTTTTCCCACCAACCCTAAAATTTTCCAAGGATCATTGTCCAATGGGACTGGATTTTTCCGAGCAACTGATCCGGTCTAGTATTTTTGCCAAACCTAACATGATAATGGTCACCAATACCTTAGCAAAATTTGAGAAAGGTCAATAACAATTAAAGTAAAATGTTAGGGGAGATAATCAAAGTTGAGCAAAAGCTTAAGGGGAAATCAATAATGTTTTTTCACCGATGGATGTGAATATAATGATTGAAAAACTTTCAAAGGCCAAAGTGATATATATGACACATATCATCAATCTCAAGGTGTATAGTTTATCTTGACCGAGACGGACCACCAAATTTAGAGAAGACGTCTTCGTCTTGTACTTATCCTTACCTTAGCTTTATTAAAGTTGATATGAACCAACAAAGTATAATAAAATGGGGGTCAATATCACTTTGCAATATTAAGACTCTGTTTGTTAAACTCTTTAAGAATACTATTATTAGTATTCTCAATAAAGTTAAACAGTAAAATTAACTTATTCTTAAAATATTATTCTATACTATTCAATTTTTTTTAAACCCTCTTAAATTTGTTAATTTAACTAAACACTCCTAAATATTTTTTTTAAAAATTACAAAAACACCCCAATAACCCTCCGACGGTGGTGGCCGATTATCCGTATTTAATAGATGAGTTAAGGATGTTTTTGTTAACTTTTAATATTTTATTATAAGGATGCTTAATAAATAAATAAACATAGAAGATATTTTTGTTAATTTCTAAATTTTACATCGTAATACCTGTCCAATTTAACTTTTTTCAAAATATTATTCTAAAAAATATCATGATAATGAACCAAACGTAACCTAAGTTTTCATAAGTAGGTAGGTGGTAAATATAAACTATAAAGGAAAGGTGAGGAAGAAATCAAGATGGGATTTTGAGATAAGCTTCAGAAATAAGGCCGATACAATGCCCGATGTCATTTTCTTTATCTTCTAATTAGCACACGCACACAAATATTAACCACACACAGGCTTAATGAAGCAACAGTTAATTGACAAAGACGTTGTGTGACTGAGAGATCA